ACACACACACACACACACACACACACACACACACACACACACACCAGTTCCTATGCTCAAGTAGTTTATTTTCTATAGTTCCTACAGTACAACAGAGATTCCTTTTTTTCTAATGATAAGACATTGGTTAAAGACAAATTATTTAAGTGTATAAAATGTTTTCTATCTGCTTGAACGATTATTGCTGTAAACATCTAAAATTAATTCATTGTTTCTTTTTTTTCACAGTTGTCCCAACACCAAGAAAGTCTGTCCGGGTGAATTGACATGGGATAGCAATAAATGTAAGTGTGTCACACAGGAAGAGAGTCCTCTCAATGGGATGGAAGGTAATGATGACATCAGTAACCATACAAACTTCTTTCTCTTTGTTTCTTCAACTTACAGACAGTTTAGAGGGCCCTACAAAAGTAATCTCTGATATTGGAAAGTATTCGTCCATGAAGAACATTTCAAAATCAAATACTATATAGACTACAATTCACTGAGACAGCTATGCCCATCTCAAGAGGCATATAGAGCATTTTTGGCTTCCTGGTTTCTTTCATCTCTACCATGCTAAAACTTGCCAATAACTTGTAAAAACAGAAAACAATAGGAAATAGCAGTAATTATGTACAAAGTTAAATTAAATGTAAAACATTTATACTGGGAATTGGGAATAACATGATATGAGCCATCCTCATAGCTCAAAAAACCATGATTCTAGAGGTTTTTGGCCTAAAACATTTGGCTATAAAATTCATGTCTTTCAGGTTTGACATAGTGCTCTACACACAGTTGGTACTTCATAAACATTTGTTGATTAATTAATACCAAATCAGTGTGTTTGGGATTTGAATTCCCAAAGAAACTTGATGTGCCATAGAAGAAAGAAAAAATGATCACACAATTTGAGCATTGTATTTTATCAATGACCTCCATAAGAACAGCAAAAATTCAACTTAAAGATGTATTCCTTGGCAACCCAAAATAATCAGCAAACTATCTGTCAAGTTATTTGTGCCTTGATAATGGTGATGATAAAAATACTACTATCTGTGTGGTCATTTGTCACCAAAAAAGTATGAGCTCCTAGAAAATGGGCTAATGCCTAACATAGACTTTCTAATTCTTCCAAATGTAGCATAAGGCTGTGTACACAGCTGCTGCTTCATAAATATTTATTGTTGAATTAACACCAAATTGATGGAATGAGTATCCTCTAACATTCTAAATGTTCATATTTATAATACTAATGTAAAAGGAAAAATGAACTGAAAAGACTTGAAATGAATAGGTCCTGTTGGTACTCTTCCTTCTCCTTTCCTTTACAGTCTGTACCATGTCTAGATTATATACCCTTTGCCTCTTAGAATATCAAGATTAATCTTGCATGCCATTTCCACAGAAAGCCTTCCCTGACCCCCTTATCCGCTAGCGCTCATCACCTTCCCCTCAAATTATCTTGCATGTATTTATCTACAGGGGCAACTAGGTGACACAGTGGATAGAATGCTGGGCCTAGAGTCAGGAAAACTCATCTCTCTGAGTTCAGATTGGCCTCTGAGACTTACTATTTGACCCTGGGCAGGTCACTTAATCTTGTTTGCCTCAGTTTCCTCTATCTGTAAAATGAGCTGGAGAAGGAAATGCCAAACCACTCTAGTATCCTTGCCAAGAAAACCCCAAATGGGGTCACAAAGAATCAGAAACTTCTGAAAAATGACTAAACAACAACAAAAAATATTTCTCTGTAAGCAGACACTTGTATATATTTACCTACTGTATATATTTATCTACTACATGTTGTACATGTAAGTATATGTAAACTCCTTGGGAGTAACAACTGTTTTTGGTTTGTCCTTGTGTCCCTAGTACCTACTTCAGTCCCTTGCACAAAATTAATGCCTTATAAATGCTTGTTGGATAGATCTATTCTCATATTCATTGGATCCTAAAAATGACTGGAGAATTTACTAACAAAAAAAAAGCCAAAATCCAAACCTAAACACTATCTTGTATTTTCTATGGCTTCCAGTCAATTGCGTGACTGTATGGACTTCTACAGAATGTGCTCCACAAAAGCCTTCTTGTTCTCCTCTCATATGTTCATAAGGAATGCCATTAATGTGTGTGTGTGTAGACTTCTTCTAATATTATAGAGATGGGAAAGCAAGAAAACGGTTTAGTAATTTTTACATTCTCTCAGTCACTTTTTTTTTAAAGGTAACAATAATGTCTGAGATTTCCCCTATGCCTTTGTTATCTTCCCTTCTTTCCCCTATCTGGAGAAAAGGTTCCTCAATGCCCTAACAATTGAGTCACCTTTAACAGGGACCTCTTTTCTCTATATTGATCTAATCAACACCATGTGCCAGGTACTGTTCCAGGTGCTAGAGAAACAAAATAAAAAATGCAACAGTTTCTGCTTTCTATGGAGGGGAGGCATATAGTTCACCTGAACTTTAAATTTTTGGTGGATTTCTTTTTTTCAGGGCTATTTCCTCTCCCCCAGCCCCCCAGGCCTATGTCCAAAACTATGATGGTAGAGTCCAAATGTAAATGTGGTAGCTCACCTACTCTGAAAAGATCTTTAAGGTCTTTTCTAATTTTTTCATCTTTTTGTTGTTCTTATGGCTAACAATCAGATGTACTTATGTGCCCACAACTACAAAGAAAGATAAAAACAGTCTTTATCCTCAAGGAATTCACATTCTAATGAGGAAGAAATCATAAATAACTAGGTGTATACAAGATATATACAGAACAGAAGGAAGATAATCTTAGAAAGACCCTAGTAGCTGGAGAGGTTGGGGGGAAAAGAGACTAGAAAAATTCTCCTGAAGAAAGTAAGACTTAAGTTGAGTCTTGAAGAAAGAGGAAGAGCATTGCAGGAATGGGGAGAACACCAGTGCGAAAGCAAAGTTGTAGGATATGGTGTGTCATGTATGCAAAGAACAACAAATAGGCACGTGTAGTGGGTTCCTAGAGTGCTCAGTAGGGAGTAAAGGATAAGAAAACCAGAAAGGTAGGAAGGAGCCATATTATGAAGAGCTTTCAATGACAAAGAGAGGAGTTTATATGTTATTGAGTAGGGAGATGATATGGTCAGATCTTCACTTTTGGAAAATCACTTTGACAGCTGAGTGAAGGATGGATTGGAGTGGAGAGTAAATACCAGTAAGCAATAAGAACCTCTGCCAGAACTTGAATTCAGGTCTTTTGATTTCAAGACTGGAACGCTTTCCATTAATCTAAGGTGGTAGTGTTTGTTTTTTAAGAGCTCATGGGGTAAAACAAAAACCCAAGGAACTCATACTGCAAATACTCTATCCACATTTTTCTCTTCCTGTTTAGAGCACTTCCATCTTCAGGAACTAGCTATTTGTGGGCCCCATAGGAAATTTGATGAGGACCACTGTGAATGTGTCTGTAAAATGCCTTGTCCTGATGATCTCATTCAGAACCCAGAGAACTGCAGTTGTTTTAAATGCCAAGAAAGTATGGAGAGCTGTTGTCAGAAGCAAAAAATATTCCATCCAGACACCTGCAGGTGAGCACTTTCCATGACTGCCATGTTTTTACTAAGTAGTCTTAAAAGTAACTGTTCTTTTGATTGAGTAGTACTTCTTGAGTCAATTTTTTTCTCAGTAACTTAGAGGTAGCTATTGCATGGTCAATAGAAGACTAGCTTTGGAACCAAGAAGACACAGGTTCAAATCCTGTATATATTAGCTGCATATCCTGGCAGCCCTGAGCAAATTAATCTCCCAGGGTACTAGGCAATTCTCTAAGAATAATAGTTGCAGAGAAAGTGCATTATATAATGTGCTATCATTAATTTTTAAAGTAACAACTCTTTTGATTGAGTCATACTGACTGAGTCAAACTTTTCTCAGTTCCTATGTCATTATGTAGAGATTTGTATAGGTTGTTAGAGCATCACTTATTGCATAACAGGATCTTAGCCCTTGACAGGAACAAATTCTCAGACTACTATATTATTGTGTTGAGTTGAGAAACCAAGAAATTTTACTGAGTATATTTTTAATTCTGAATCTGCAGCATAGACTAGGTTTGTGTAAACAGATAATTAATGATTAAAAACTTGAAAAACCATTGGCTTGTTTCCAAGTATCCAAGTGCCTTGGTTCTTCTCAACTTTTTTAAGGGAAGGAGAACCAATTCATTCATAATATGAAGCAACAAATGATAAAAATGAGTAGACCATATTGTTAGTTAGGATGTATTACTTCTGAAGTATATAGGTCTGACTATTCAGAATTTAGATATTAATATTTTAGACAAGTACTTGGCAAATACATAATGAAAAATGAAAGTTAGAAAAAGTCCGTCAAAGATATTTTTTTAATTATGCAAGAAGAAGTTTCTACTAGTTAGGATTTGGTTCCTCTGAATGTAGACTTTGATCCTAAGTTATGGCTCTCACTTTCTTTTTCATTAACAGCTGTGAGGACAGATGCCCGTTTCACACCAGGACATGTATAAATGGAAAATCGATATGCGCAAGGCACTGCCGCTTTCTGAGGGACAAAAAAGGCCCCCATGGACTCCATGGCAGAGTAAATCCTTGAAACAATTTTTATCCCACTCCAAACCCCTACCTTTTTGGATTTCTGTAAACAGTGTGCTGCTTTGCCAAGTTGCTGTCACTTTCTAAGTGTTAGTAAAAATGAGTCAACATCTATTTCACTTAGCAAGAGTGAAACTAGTCCACATTCATTTATTCCATTAAAAAAACTGCCAGGAATGGATTCACTGGGATGCTGGTAATTGTCCACTGCCAGAGGATGCTCATGGGGGTGAAGGATTGGAGAAGGAGCCTACTTGGAGCTTTTTTTTTTTTTTAACAAGGAACAAATTGGATAATTTGCAATGGAGTAATGGTTACTATCCAATTGTTAAGGAAAATGGACTAAACCTTTGCTAACTGCAACTCTTGTGAAATACTCAGATTTTCTCTTGTACAGAATTTGATTTGTAATATGTTCAGCACTGACTTTTTGATCTACTGTCCAGCTTTTGATTATTGAGTTTGTTGAACTACTGCCTGATGTTTCATATTTAAATATATTTAAGTAAATAAATGTATCAGTTATTCAAGCTACATATTCTCATGCATTATAGCAGTTTTCCCAGTCCTAAAATAAGGCAACTGAACTAGATTTGATCTTCTTAATCTTTTCCATGTCATGGACCCCTTTGGCAAAGCCTATGGATTCCTTCTCAGAATGGTTTTTATATGCATAAAACAGAGCAATCTAATTATAAAGAAAATCAGTTATATTGAAATACAGTTATAAATTGTTTTTTGAAGTTCACAGACTCCAGGTTAAGTACCCCTGGATTAGATCACCTCTAAGGATTCTGATTCCATGATTCCATTCTCCCCCAAACATCACAAGGATAAGCCTATGTTCAGTTTTAAGCACTCAGTTTTTGTCCTGGTCCTTAGTTTTCTTCTGGGCCTGTCAACCTTTTCTTCCTCCCCTATTTCTTCCCTGAATTATGGCAAGCACTTAAAGCCTACCTATTCCAACTGTGATATAAGGGAAGAAACTGATGAAATAGTGAACTCATTGAATCAGAGATAAAAGTAGTGAAAACCAGAAGAAGGTATGCATATGAGGATTTGTGAAATTTCTCTATTCTAAGGACCTAGCCTACATCCTAGAGGGCTAATATGAGGATCCCCAAGACCTAAATTATAGGCTGGTTCCTTTCCTACCTAGATTTATTCTAGGACAAACTTGGTCAACAAGTACAAAAAAGGAAGCAGTACTACTTCTTCCTCAGACAAATGGAGTTACATCTAGAGTTTATCATAATCCTGAGATAGTTACCCTTGAGGGACAAGTTTGTGGGTTTTTTTACACTTCTTTTTAACTCCCTACATTGCTTCTTTCTACAAAGGTAACTCAATAAATGTTGATGTAGGCAATTTATTCCATTAAATAAAACACAGAAAGATTTATAAAGGGTGTGATTGATATAGTCATAAAGATTAGTGTTTGAATTTCTCAAACTCATATCAGCTGGCAGGGCATGGTGGTACACATCTGTAATTCTGACTACTGGGGCAGACTGAAGGTGGTAGATCATTTGAATTTGGGAGTTCTGAGCTGCAGTGAGGCTAAAGCCTATTAGTGATTGAATTAAGTCTGGTGCCAATATTGTTAGCCCCTGGGAGAGAAGGGAGAGGAGGCTACCTAAGCACAAAGCTGCAAATCAGCACACAGAGAGAGAGAAAAAAAAAAAAGAACAGATTAAAGCTTGTAAACCAAACAGTGTTGGGATCAAGTCTATAAGGGGTCACTGAACTTTCAACATAGGCAAGATAGGGAAATTCAGTCTCAAAAAATTAAACAAAGCAAAACTCTTTGTTTCTCTGTCTCTGTCTCTCTCTCCTCTCTGTATAGGTTTATGTATATATTTATGTATCTATCTATCTCAAAAATTAAACAAAAACAAATATCTATCTTAGCTAATTCCTAATTCCTGATAGTTTTCCCTATTTTTTTTTTCTTTTAGAATCACAGATCAATTCTGTCTTTCATTTTTAATTACAGGAAACAGTATTAAACTAACAAGGCAAATTGGAAAGATAGTCACATGAAATATTTTCTACCCTTTTGCAGAGTATAATCCTGAAGAACTTCACTGTAAAATGTAGTCTGGAAACTCCCAAACTTACCTTTTAGTGTCAGTAATTTTTTCACAGTACCCTTATGCCAAAAGAAATACCTAATAGCTCTGTTTATTAAGTACTAAGATCTAAACAACTTAGTAAGCATTCGTATACTAATATCTTAGTAGCTGTTTGAAAAAAATACTCATAAATTGAAAGAAAAATATTTTATTTCATTTTTTGATAACTATAATTACTTACTGATGGGATGTGTGTATTTATTGGACACTGCACAACTTCTTGGCATCAGATTGGACATCACCACCCTCATTTCCAGTTTGCCTTTTTTTTTTTTTTTAATCAGAGCAATCACCAAAAGCCCAATTTCACAAAAATAAGAAAGTTCAAAAAGTTACTGGCATACTTGAGAGTACAAATAAATAAAAACCTATCTCAAACATTTGAGAATGTTATCAAAAGGAATGTAGCACAATCTAATGTTGAAACTGTGAACTACCTCAAGCTAGTAGAGCAGTATCTGATATGTTCAATTATCACTGTGTTTTCCTTGAAAGTGTAAAATATCCCACTGTACCCCTGTGACTTCACTTTGGTGGCTTGCAATGTAGTACAGCACAGTTTGGTATCCATGAGCATAGCTGCTGACTTCAAAGAGAGAAAGTAACTTTTAAAAATTTCTTAACTCCCATACACAGAAACTTTCTTTGATTTTTTTCTTGTCTTTCTTTAGCCAGAGTATAAAAATATGACTGCAGCAATGAAGAGAATTGGGAAAAAGAACAAAACTATAAAGGTTCAAGCATGAACTAGGAAATAATAACAAAATATACTTAAACTTACACACTGGTTATAATAGGCTGTATTTAACATTGCTAGCCTATAAGAACAAAGAGAGAAAAAATGCTGGGAAAGCAATATTCATGTCTGGCCCTGAATGACAAGCAAAAACTCAATCCATCCCTGGGCAACCCTAGGAAGGCAAGTCTTTAACAGCATAGGTACATTATGGTGCATTATGGAGATTGTCTGTGATGTAAGGGCAACTAGGTGGTACAGTGGATAGAGTGCTGGGCCTGGAGTCAGGAAGACTCATCCTTCTGGTTCAAATTTGACCTCAGATACTTCTGGCTGTGTGATTCTGGGCAAGTCACTTAAACCCTCTTTGCCTCAGTTTCCTCATCTATACAATGAGTTGTAGAAGGAAATGGCTAACCACTCCAATATCTTTGCCAAGAAAACCCCAAATGGGGTCACAAAAACCCCAAAATGGGAACACAAAGAATCCAAAAGGACTGAGAATAACTGAATAACAACAACAAATGTGACATAAAGCCAAAGACAGGGTCCTTTTCAGTAGTTTTGGGGTACATATCAAACCTCACCCTGTTCTACAATAGATTCGAACCTACTTTGGCCTATTACCTAACATGTATTTCTGAGGTTGTTCACATGCGGAATAATGTAACCGTAATCCAGGGGGTGCCCAGGATTATATGTTGGTCTATTTTGGATCAAAGATAACTCATACTAGCACATCCAGATCTGGATCTTAACCCTTGAGGCCAACTTGGATAAATATGGATAAGTCTTCAGGGACAAAAGTTGAGAAAACCAGATATGTTCTCTTTGTTGTCATTCTCCAGGAGAAAAATATACCGAAAATCAAAGCCCAGAAATGTATGCTGAAAATCCCCAATGGAAGTATGAGATGTTCTAGGAACACATTAAGCCAGTAGCAATCTCTACCTGGAGAGAGGAAGAGTGGAAGGCTTGGATGAGGAAGCTACAGGGAAGTCAGAAATCTTGGATCATGAATGTGGGTCAGAAGCTGGCAGCATTCAGAGTGGGATGGCAGAACTCTGACAGGGCATTCCATGGGCTTTTGAAGTCCATAGCACTTTGACCTAAGACACACCAAAAATCTCTGAAGATTCAAAACTCTGAACAAGTATGATCTTGGGGCACCTGAAATCCACGAACAACATAAGTGCAGAAACACTAGAAGCAGAAATCAGTGGCAGGAGATCAGGTAATGGACATCAGGATTAAACATGGTCAAGCATCCTAGCCAAGAATGCAGAACACAGAATCTGGCCCTGCCACAAAGCCCTCATTCAGAAATTGAGAGAGATGAGTAAACAGAAGAAAACACTAACCCTGATACAGAACTATCATTGTCCCAGAAATACCCAAAAGTCTAACCCAGAAGATGAAACAAATTCCACGACTACAAGTACAGACTCAGAGAAAAAAAAATGCTCAGTCATAAGATCTACAAGGGTATCTAGATGAAATGAAGCAAGGGTTAAAAGATTAAATTATACATGAAATAAGATTGCTGGAGGAAAGCTACAGAAAGAGAATAAATGGCTTAGAATAGCGGATGGTAAACCTAACCCAAGTGTAATAGGCCAGGCTTCACTAACACCAGTTTGGCCATTCAGGACGAAGAGTAGAACAAAATGAAAGCTTTGTAGAATTCTGACAGTTAACAAAAGGAGGTTTACTTAGTTATATCAGAGGGAGGATATTAAAAGCAGAGAATGGTTATTTAGCCAATATAGAACACTGATTCAGGTGTATGTAGCTTTCTTGCCTCTTTTTTGTCCTTGATGCATTGTGGTCCAAATCTGGCTGATTTTTGTACTTAGGCCACTAGGAGCTACACCAAACCCAGGACTTCAGTCCCTAAACTAAGCCTTAAAGATGGTTTCAATATCTTTTAAGGAAAATGTGTGCAGGAGGCCCTGCAGGACACTTTCCCAACCCACCAAGTAATAGACTTAATGAAATTTTAAAGAACCAAGTTGAAATCAATGACTCTATGAGAAATCAAGAAATACTGGAAAAAATAAATAATTGAAAAGATAGGAGAGAATGTATGCAAATGTAAATAAGATCAAAAGAGCTGATTTCAAAACTGGTCAAGCAGATTCCTAAAAGTCATGTCCTTCCACGCCTGTTGTTGTTCAGGTGATCTCCACTCCCTCCCCCCCCAAAAAAGGCTTGGATACCAAAAAAGTAATCAATGAAAACTGCACAGAATTTTTAGAACCAGAGACTAAAGTGAAAATAGAAAGGACTCACCAAAGATCTTCTGAAAGAAATCCCAAAATGAGAACTCCCAGGGATGTGATAGTCCAAATGCAAAGCTTCCAGGTCAAAAAAAAGTTCAACCAGAAAGAAAGACTTCAAGTACAAAAGAATCAGAGTCAGGATCATGTAAAACTATGCTGAAACTACAATACAAAAGAGAAAAGCAAGAAACAAACAGGGAAACTGCATTATATTTAAAGGCACCGTAGGCAATACCAGCACTTAATTTATGTGCACCAAAGACATAAGGAAAAGTTAATAAACTATAGAGATAAAAACATAGCGAAATTATAATAGTTGGAGGTCACAATGAACCACTTTTAGACCTAAACCAAAAAGAAAAAAAAAACTAACAAAAAGATAATTTTTTTAAAAAAAAGTTTAGAACCTGAAAGAATTTTGTAAGAATAAAGTATGATAGGCCTCTAGCAATTACTTAATGGGATTAAAAAGAAATTCACATCTTTCTCAACTGAGCTTAGCACCTTTACAAAAACTTACCATATATTAGGCCACTTGCTGTTCAATTGTTTCAGTCATATCTGACTCTTCATGATCCCATTTGGGGTTTTCTTGGTAAAGATACTGGAATGGTTTGTCATTTCCTTCTCCAGCTCGTTATACAGATGGAGAACTGAGGCAAGCAGGGTTAAGTGATTTGCACAGGGTTACACAACTAGTAAGTGTCTGAGGCCAGATTTAAACTCAGAAAGCTGAGTCTTCCTGACTCTAGGTTCGGCACTCTATCCACTGTGCCACCTAGCTGCCCTATATTAGGGTGCAGCAGTATCAACAATCACAACTTCAGGAGACTTATATGAAACCTATGTTTATTGTATGAGAAATGAACATGCATGTGGTACTCGAAGAGTTCACAGTTCTTACAGAAATTTGCATATTTGTTGCATATAACAAAAGGAGGAGGAGAAGACAGAAAGGCGTATGGCAATGTAGGGGAAAGGTACAGTAACCCCTCCTGAAGGGGAGGTGGAAGGCAATGGCAAAAGCCAAATTCTTTTCCCTTGGGAACTGCTGGACTATGAAGATAGGAGGGTGTGCTTATCTGCAAAGGACACTGATATGCGTACAAAGGGTGCCCTAGGATTAAAAATAATATTAAGGGTTAGTTTCCCAGGTCCCCCTGAAGGGGTTTAAGGCTCATTCTGTAGCCCATCCTGTACCTTGAGATCCTGGAACTTGAGAGCTTCCCTTATCTTAAAATACCATACAACTCGTACCAAAAGAGTTGCCTTTGTTTCTCTTATTGTATTCCTTATCCTGTCATTCATCTTCCTCATCCTATGTCACGACAATTTTTCCTTATCTTGTAAGCAACCATCTTCCTCATCTTGTTTGTTCTTATCCTGTCCCCAATCTCCAACCCCCATAAGAAACCATAAAAATACATCATCATCCTACAGGCTGTATAGCTTTCTGTCTATATAAGCCTGAGTCTTTTCCTATATCAGGGCCTTCGTTTAGCTCCTTGCTAACCTCAGGCCCATGAAGCTTTCACGAAATAAAGCTCCCAATGGTTACAGAGAAGGTCTAAGTGAATTTTTTCATACCTGAACCTAAACCTCAACAGACATCAGCTGCACAAGCATTTTTCCCAGCCTGACAGAGACTGGCTGGCACCTGTCTTGCCTCCCAAGGACACACAGGGAGTCTAGACTGGGTGCTGACAACATATTATGTCAGCTTATGGGGCACGGGGTTTCCCCCATGACATACTTAGGTCTTCCTGCATGCTATAGATCCAGTGTCTCTGGAAAATATGGCAAATCAAAAAAAAAGACAAGCTCAGGGCACCCCTTTTAACAGCCCTTAACAGAAGCTTCATAAACAAATGTAGAAAAGCATAAATATTGGACATATCCTTTACTGTCTACGATGAAATAAAAATTATAATCAACAAAGAATTCTTTTAAAAAGGATTAAAATTTAACTGGAGGCTAAATAATTTAAATATAAAGACTGGAGGGGATGGATCAAAGAACAAAGCAGACAAACAAGATAATTACATCAAAGAAAGTGACAACAATGAGATACCATACCAAAACTTTTCCAATACAGTCCTTATAGGGGAAAATACGACTATTATCAACAACAACAACAAAAAAGCAAGCTGTATGTATCAGAAATCTAAATACAGTGCTCTTTTACTGTTCTCCTTTGTATGCAGAAATGCTCCTTTTAGTTGGTTTGTCAAGTAAAATTTGTGATGTAACAAAAAAAAATAACTATTTGGGGAAAAAATTCTCTTTGGAACTTTTTGGTGTTGCGTAATAGTCACCCATTACTACTCCATAAATATTCCAAGAGTTATTGTATACTGAAGTAACATTTACGGCAATTAAAGCGACCTTGACAGGAGCTGTTCCAATGATGTTGCTGCAGACTGGTTTCTCATTCCAGCTCCTTCCATGGTGGCATCAATTACTAACTCCACTGGCCTCACAACCACCCACTCTAATGAAGGCACTGTGGAGGCCATGGATAATGGGAAATGCAGATAGATTCCAATCCTGGTGTTACTAGGGGTCCATCATCACTTTGGTACTCTTAAAAGTCATTTACTAGGGGCCTGATTCTAAGTTCCCAGCCCTGAATTGTCTTCCAGGAATTGAAGTGTCCTCCTTGTGCCTGAATGGGATGTCATTATTGCATAATTTATTTAGAGATGGGTACGGACCGATTTTGTGATTCTCGAAGACACTTCTGGGTTTACTCATCTTCTATATGCCTCTATTGACTGGCACTTCCCAAGCTCGTCCTAAAAAGAGGGGCGGGCGTTTAGGACTGAACCAAAAAAATAAAAAAAAAAAACTCTGTAACTATGCAACGCTCCAGGGAGGCTGTCTTAGTGCCAACGCAGGGTTACGCCCTGAAGGGAGGGACTTGGAGCGCGGGGCACACTGGGAGTGGTAGTTTTCTTCAGGCTTACGCTAGCAGCAGAGCCAGGCGAATCGCTGAACTACAGTTCCCAGAGAACAGAACGGGTACTTGCATGGCACTCTGGGATTGTAGTCTTGCTCTCGGCAGGAGGAGTGCCAGAATAAGTGATAGGAGAAATCGGGTACGGTCGCCCGTACGTACAAGAGATTTCCAAGTTACGGACAACGCGGCCTTGGCTTAAGAAGGATTAATTCACCTCTCGTGCTTGTGACAGTAACAAGAAAGCGGGAGTCGCCGCGGCGGAAGCACACCGTGACGTCACCACCCTGCCCTTTACCCTTCCCGGGGACGTGTAGTGGGCTCTGAAGGGGTGGAGAAAGCAATGGGCCGCCGTGGCCCGGGAGTCACGTGACCCCAAGGCCGCGTGACGATTGGTTTCTAGCGGGGCGGGGCGCTGGAGCTCGGGTCTCGGAAGTCGAGGTTACCCGCCTTCCAGGGAGGTGGGTGGAGCCATGGCGGTGGCCGTGGGAGGGCCGGACGTCTCTGTGCTGTGGGACTCGCGAAGTAAGTGTCTGTCGGCCGCCGTCCTGTCCTTCCTGCCCCTCTGCCTTGAGGTACTTGGCAGCTTCCGGCCGAGCCTCGCCTTTGCCCCCGAATCGGGGATTGGGGAGAGAGCGGGAGGGCGGCCCTGGGGGACAATCCAGTCGGGACCCGAGGGCGGCCCGGAAGTGGGCGGCGGGAGGATCTGGAGGCTCCCGGAGCCCGGGAGGGCGGGTGCCGCAGGGGGCTTAGCGGCAGCCAGTCGGCGTTTGTTGGGGTGCCTTAAAGGGGAAGAATGGAGTCGGGGCTCAAGACTGTCGGCTCCTTTACACCTTTCTTACCCCCACCTGCCCCTGACAACAGGGGCTCAGTTTGACCCTGGCCTCGGTGGGAGTAACTTCTCTCCCCCCCCCACGTTCTCTGCGCCTTGCCCTTATTCGCCCCCAAAGCAGTTCTGCCGGATCGCCTTCTCTGGAGAAAGTTGTTGAGGGATTTAAGGTCATGATAGATAAACTCAAGCTGGGCTGAAATTGTTATACCGGGTGTTGCTCGTTGCAGAATAGCTCAGAGTCTTCCGGCAGGTGTGGTTTTTGTTTTTTTATGAGGGGGGCGAGGAGGACAAAGTACTACTTGGAGAGGCATTTTATCAGAACGTAGGTTTTGAGTTAGGAAATCCCACCCCAAATGCGTAGGACCTAGGGGATCCCGAGCAAGCCCTCTCACTTAAAAATTTCAGTTTCTTCATCTGTGCAATAAAAATAATGATGCTGGTTCACTGCCTACCTTAGAGATCTGGGAGGAAAGTGCTTTGCAAGCCCTGGAGTATTATATAGACGTGATATACTTGTTATCTGAAACAGGGACTTGGAGAGGACTGGTGTATTTATGAAAAGTGGAAACTATACGAGGAGGCACGCCTTTTAAAACTTTAAATCTCTTCCGCATTACCTAGCAGAGTGGTCACATGAATGGGCTAGAACATTTAGAAATGTGTGTTCCAAAATATAAATGGAATTGTTGAAAGAAAAAAAGGAGCATGAGACATTGATTTACTGAAATTCAGTCTGTGGTTGGCATTCCATACTGCATCCCTGGGTCCCTGGATCTCTCTAACCATCACATAATCTCGACTTCTTTGTTGTTTAATTAGAACACTGCCAAGGTTACAAATCATGAAGAGGCAAGTTAGTTTGCCTAACTGTGTAGAAGCCTTTCCAGAAAGGAATGGATGTGGTGAGGTACCACTTCACACCTGTTAGAAATAACAAATGCTGGAGGGGATGAGGGGAAAATAAGTACACTAATGAATTGTTGGTGGACTAGTGAAGTGGGCCAACCAATCTAGAGTGCAATTTGGAACTATGCTCAGAGTTATAAAACCATGCATATCCTTTGACCCAGCAATATTACTAGAAGGTCTGTAAACGAAAGAGATAAAAGAAAAAAGAAAAGGAGCTATATGTCCAAAAATAGCAGCTCTTTTTGTGGTGGCAAAGAATTGGAAATCAAGCGGATGCTCATCAATTGGAGAATGGCTAAACAAGCTGTAGCACATGATTGTGGTGGCATACTCTTGTGCTGTGGGAAATGATGGAGTGGAGGGGGTTGGTAGTTTCAGAAAAACATGGCAAAAACTATATGAAATGATGCAAAGTGAAATGAGAAGAATTGGGATATCATTGTGTACTGTAAGAGCAATGTTGTAATGGTGATCAGCTCTGAAAGACTTGGCTAGTGTGATAAAAACAATGATCCAAGACAATTTTCCGAAGGACTCTTGATGAAAAAATGCTGTCCATCTCCAGAGAGAGAATTGATGAACTCTTGAGTGCAAATTGAAGTACAGTTTTCTCACTTTCTTTGTTTTTCTTGTTTGAAATATGGCTCATATGGAAATATGTTTTGCATGAATTCACATGTATAATTGATATCATATTGCTTGCTTTCTTAGTACGTGGAGGAAAGAGTGAGAGGGAGGGTGAAAATTTGGAACTCAAAATTTGAAAAGAAAAGAATGCTAAAATAGTAAATTTAAAATATTTTTTAAAAGTTAAATATAGAGAGGTAGAAAAATATAGATGAAATGCACTTTAGAAATTATTTTTATACAAATGGACCTGGAGTTGTTCAGTTGTGCCCAATTCTTGGTGACCCCATTTGGGGTTTTCTTGGTAAAAATACTGGAGTGGTTTGCCATTTCCTTCTCCAGTTCATTTTACAGATGAGGAACTGAGGCAATAGGTGATTTGCTCAGGGTCACACAGCTAGGGAGTGAGTGAGGCCCGATTTTGAACTCAGGAAGATGAGTTTTCCTGACTCCAGGCCAAGCACTCTATCCACTATGTCACCTAACTTCCCTGTCAAGAATTGACTGTGTTGTACTATATCATGGCAATTCATAACTTTTCATGTTTTTACTTTTAGGAACTTATCTTTTATGTCTAATAGCATTATGCTGAGCTATATGAACCACTAGTTATTATCTGCCACTTAGGCTTATTTAGTATATATACTTTTTCATTGCTATGAAAAGGCTAATATTAAATATGGAGTCATTTAGGGTATATACATATATCTAGGAGTGACAGTTGGAATGAATTGGAATGCATTTTGCTGAGATTTTTTTTTTTCCTTTACCAGGAAACAAATGGCATCTGTCTCAGTGGACTGCTGTGAGGACTGATGACTAAACCTCATCTTAATATGGCATATAGAAGAGTAAATGGGCATGGACAGTCCCTCACATCTAAACCCTCTCATATTGATTGTGGAATCCATCAGCTGCGTAGAACTGGAACACATAACATCTGCATGGTGTCTGATTTTTTTTATCCAAATATGGGAGGAGTGGAAAGCCACATATACCAGCTATCTCAGTGTCTTATTGAAAGAGGACACAAAGTCATAATTGTTACCCATGCTTATGGAAATAGAAAAGGTATTCGATACCTTACCAGTGGCCTCAAAGTATATTATTTACCGCTAAAAGTCATGTACAATCAGTCTACAGCAACAACCCTCTTTCACAGTCTGCCTCTTCTCAGGTACATATTTGTTCGGGAGAGAGTCACCATAATCCATTCACATAGTTCTTTTTCTGCCATGGCCCATGATGCACTCTTTCACGCCAAGACAATGGGCCTACAGACAGTCTTCACAGACCATTCTCTTTTTGGATTTGCTGATGTCAGCTCGGTGCTTACAAACAAACTTCTAACTGTATCACTTTGTGATACAAATCATATAATTTGTGTCTCTTACACTAGCAAGGAAAACACTGTTCTAAGAGCAGCATTGAATCCTGAGATAGTATCCGTCATCCCCAATGCTGTAGATCCTACTGACTTCACTCCAGACCCATGTAGAAGGGATGATAGTGTAATAACTATTGTTGTTATCAGCAGGCTTGTTTACAGAAAAGGTAATAATGAAATAGTAAACTAAAACTGCAATTCATGGAGAAATTTCTGTTGTAGGCTATTTAATGTCAGTTTATTATTTTGCTTTTTAATTGTTTTGATATGTACTTATATATTTTCATACTTTGGGAACATCCGTGATCTCATAAATCAAACATCTCTTTAATTGGGACAGATCATAACCTTTCCATGTTTTATTATGCTGTTTGGTTCTTCTCCATGTCTCTCTATAAATCTTCCATAGAGCTTGCAGTTGATTAAATAGTAATAAGAGAACTTAATAATTTATAAATCCAATAGACAAAGTTACATGTTTATTTGAAATTGAGGGTGAATGTTTCTTTAAAAAAAAGTGTTTTGAAAATATTTTCTTAAAAATGCCATTTACATAGTGATAACTATGCTAATACTATTTGGATAACATTTAAGACACCACTTGTCATTGCAGTGTATATTTTGTAAAGTTAAATTATGAGAAATAGGAGAACCAAACCTTGCTGTCAGTGAAAATTATTGGTATTATTACTGTGTGTTTAAGTTATATGTGTTGTGAAAATGCAAGCTTGGATTCTGAGAGACCCTCTCCTCAAAATGAGTCATCAAAAGATAATCTGTGTGGGGAAATGCATTAGTGTTCTTTAGCCTCAGATTCTTTCTTGTTTTAGATTAATCTGCCAATGATTTGAGAAGAAAAACTTGGTCAGGGCACAGGAAAAGGAAGTCAGTTATTTCTGGTCAGTGTCAGGGGATGGTTCTTGTCCAAAGCCTGTTCATGGACGCTGGCATATATGCTAACAAGATGAAGTTCACTTGTGCTTAGTGTAAAATATCAAAGGCAATTGAGGGATATAGAAATAGGACATGGGTGAAAACAGACCTGTGAGAGCAACTGTAGAGACCACCAAGAAAAGGACATATCTGCAAGTTCAGTGCAGGGTTATCTGAAAACCCAAGGAACATTTGGGGCTAGATGGTAAAGGCTTTTCTTCAACTAGATGGTTTTTTTTTTTTAATTTTCTTTCAAATTTGTGATTGTAAGTGTGAGATGAAGAGTGGAAATGAAGGTTTCTAGATACTGTAAACTTATCAATTGTATGATTTAAAAAAAAAAAACAAAACTTTTCTCCTAGCTATTTAGCAAAGCTCTGAAGAATCACTTTTTTCTGAAAAAAACTTTTTTCTCACTTGGAATAAAGCAAGAGGAGATCAGTTCCTCCCTATCCCTAGATGAGTAGGAGGTATACTATATCCCTTAGAAGCCACGTTTTGGTGGTAGCTGTAATGACATACAAACAGCTAGGTTTGATCCAAGGCTTTGAAGCTCTTACAGCAAGGTTAAAAGATCAGGTAAGGTGACCAGGGCATTGTCAGTGGGTAATATTCTATACTTGGCAGTAACATCTCCTCATGGGCTTATGCTTTTTCATTCTTTTATGATATTGACGTACCCTAAGTAAGATCTGTGCTTTTAGTTCTTGTTTTTTTCCCCCATAGTAGCAGTAGCTTTGTTCTGATTCATTCATACTCTTTTTGTCAGTTCTCTTTTGGAACAATAGGATGCTTGTATGAGATGACTAGATAGAATGCAGTGAGTGAGCATATGATCATAGAACAGAGAATAGCTAACTGACCTACATGGAGCATAGCTAACAGACCCTGATCATCATTAAGGTATTTTAACCAATTGTGAGCTAACTAGCCACAGGAGTAAAGTAAATCAACAGTCAGCAAGCATTTATTAAGTGCTTACTCTGTGTTGGACAATGCCAGTGCTGGGAATGCAAAGAAAGGCAAAAGACAGGCCTCTGCTTTCAAGGAGCTCACAGTCTAATGGGGAAGAGGACATGCAAACAACTATGTACAAATGATATAGATTGGGTAAACTGGAGATAATTAACAAATGGATTAGCATGAAGGGGGATTACGAATGACTTCTTGAAGAAAGTGGAGGACAGCCAGTGAAAGTGCCTGGTATTTAGAGATGGAAGAAAAAGCAGGTGTCTGGATTGTAGAATATGTGGAAGAAGACTGGGAGAGTAGGAGGGGGGCAGTCTGTGAAGTGCTTTGAATGCCAAACAGGGAACTTTATATTTGATCCTGAAGGCAATAGGAAGTCACTAGACCAAATAGGTATATGACATAGTTGGACCTGTGCTTTAATAGTTGAGTGGAGGTGAATAACTCTTGTTAAAATAACTCTTGTTTTCAATATAAGCCCTGAGAGTTAATATCCATATCTCCATTAGAAAAATTATCTAGAGAGTTTTGTAAATGACTGAATGAGTGAAAATGGATTATTAAGCCCTAAGTAGGTAGTAAAGTGGTACCAGTAGCTAAGACAGCCCCTGTCCTCCAGGAGCTTACATTGTAATGAGGGAGATAACAGGCATGGTGGCACAGGAGGAACATTTTGGATCTGAAAGTTAAGGGGGGGCCAGTTGATTTTTCCCTGTTGACTATTTAGAAAAAATAAATTGCCTCAGTGAATGACAAGAGGAGCAATCCTGAGAGGCAGACTTTCTGTAGCATATGAAATTAGGTAGGCCATGTCAAAGATGTATCATCTGACATTCACATCTCTTGAATCTGCCTTCATATTAATGAGAGCCTCATGGCACTTTACCAGGTGTGAAGCCACAAATCTTCTGATTCACATCCACTTATGTAGGGAAGCTTCTTTATCTGGCTATAGATTTTTGAATTGAAGGGGACAAACTGAGTCATCAACTTAAAATGAATTTGAATCTCTAAATTTTTCCAAGTCCCATTTTGTGTGATCATGACCATTGGAAATTTGGTAAACCTAAAGAAATTTTTTTTTAAAGATGTATTTGGTCTTTAGTCAGATTGCTGAATACGTTTTTTTGAATAGGACAAAATCCACTTTCATTTACAGACTATTTTTTTCCCTTCCTGGTACATCTCACAAACCATGTAAATCTTCATACCATACAGTTCTCATGCATGTCTTTCCATATATCTGTAGAGAAACTGTAGAGAAGCTATCTAACTTGGTGGAGACTTTCATATGGTTCTTTTAATACTTCATGAATACTAGTGTAGCTTTTAGGCTCTTCCATCTTTAGTTCTTCCTTCTTGCTACATGGCTGGCTAATCTGCTTTCCCATCCGTGCATATTTTTATATCATGCTGGCTTTTTGAATACCACTTCTTTCAGGCAAATCAACATTGATAGTCACTGGTAACATGTTACAACTTACTTAAATCTACCACATCCTTTTTTATCTAACTTTTGGGTCACTTTTAACTTTTGATTGTCCTGAAAATGATTTCTAGCATAATAGTCTAATACAGGCCTCATAACATATAACCCACAGGCCACTTGGAGCCCGCCAAAGGATTTCGGGTGGCCCATGAAAAAAATGTAGAGAGGATGTAAAACAGGTCTGTATAGTATACTGCCCACGGGCCACTTTGGCAGACCACATGTTGTACAAGCCTAATCTAATAAATATTTTTAATTTATAACGTCCTGTCAAATCAGTAAGCATTTACTAAATGTCCGATATGTGCCGTGCACAGTGCTAAGGATGAACAGAGACAAACATGAAATAATCTTGGCCTTTGGGGAACTTTGTAACTATTGCTTCTTATTCTTGGCTATGAATTTTTGCTTTAAGATAGTTTCTCATAACATTTATATTGAAAATAGAAATAAAAATTGCTACATTAAGGCAAAAAAATGATAAAACTTAAGCTTACCTTATCTCATCCTATGTTGTACTTAAATAAACAAACTTTGCTATTAGGTTTAAAACAAATGGAACTAATATTATATGCTCTTAAACCAAGCGAATAACAAAGGACTGAATTGGGCTGGTCAACAGTTTTCTAAAGGACATTATAGTGATCCTGACTTTAGAGTAGGACTTGGTTATAATGCTTTAATCTTACTGTCAGATGAACTTGATCAAGGATACTGTGTGGGATGGACTTATGTTACTTTATATTCCAGACCATCATATGGCTATTCTTAAGTAGTAGCAACCAGAAGTACTTTTCATTGCTTCACTTCTTCTTGTAGTGTGTCAGTACATTAACTTGTTGAAGTAGCATTTTATGCTTGAGGAAAAATCTGGCTAAGGGAGTAGTAAGTTCACATGTAGCAGGAGAGAGTTCATTTGGACTTGTAAAGATAAATAATAGGATAAGGATAGGATAGGGTCCTATCCTATAATTTCATTGGTGCAGCAAACTTTTTTTTTTAAGCTAGGCAATGGGGTTGAATGACTTGCCCAGGGTCACACAGCTAGTAAGTGTTATGTGTCTGAAGTGGGATTTGAACTCAGGTCCTCCTGAATCTAGGGCCAGTGCTCTATTCACTGCGCCACCTAGCTGCCCCCTCAGGGAACTCTTAATGAAGAAATTCCTACTAGTGCAGCAGGTTGGCAGTTGCCTAAAGCAGTGGTGTCAAACGCCGATAGAAATATTGGCGCCTAAACTATACATAAAAACCCTTAGTGGGCCACATACTGACTTAGAAAACCTTATGTGAAAATTATTTTTTAAAATTTTATTAAATATTTCCCAATTACATTTTAATCTGGTTCATTCTACACTGTGTTTGCCATCTCTGGCTTAGAGCACCAAGACAATAAATGACTTGTCCAGAGTAACATCAGGTATGTATCGGGGGGGGAACTGGAATTAAGGGCTTTCTGGGTCTGAACAGCTTTCTATCCACTTCACTATGTGTTAAAATACTGAAGGATTTTTATAAATAGTTTTCAGAATTAAAAGACTTGTGATCATTTGTGACACCTTGGTTAACTGGTGAGCAGTATTGCCCTTCTAGGAGCTGGACAAGAAGTATACCTTTTTTTCTTTTCCCTGTGTATGAAGAGTTGAATAATCATTTTGAATAAGATGCATAAAAGGATTTTTCTCTCCTAAAATGAACCTTTCATAACTTTTTTTTTAATCTCATGTTCTTAGGAATTGATTTGCTTAGTGGGATAATACCCGAACTCTGTCAGAAATATCCAGATTTAAATTTCATAGTTGGAGGAGAGGGGCCAAAGAGAATCATTTTGGAAGAAGTGCGGGAAAGATACCAACTACATGACAGGTATTGAATAGTTCTTTATTCTCCATGTAAGAGTACTAGAGTTTTATAGAGAGAGGTTTTGTTAGAAAGCAGTATATTAGTTTTATTGCTTTTCCCAGTGGTTGTTTCAAGACATCCTTAGAATTGCATTTATCTTGAATTAAATTCATCTATAAGAAGAAAAAAAAGTTTAAAAGATTACCACTTGTGTATGGGTTTTTTCCTTACTGCCAATATAATTTATAAATTTGGGAATAGTAGAAATACAGTAATTGGTTAGAAAAGTTTGCATTGGCATTTTAGAATCCCATTGCCAAGCTAGCCTTAATATTTTAATTAGAAGAAAAAACAAGGTTAAGGAAATTAGCAGTTAAAAACATTATTTGCATTTTCCCTTTTACTTTCCACGGGTAGAAAATGTATTGTTAGCATAATAAACAGGGTAAGTTGTGGAAAGATGTTTCTTTAGATTTTGGTGGTTATTTTTCAATATTTAAAAAATGAAAATGAGGAAGAACTTACATATAACTTGTGGAAAACTTTGAAAGTTATAAATTATACTCTTTATCATTGCGTATTGTTATCTTTCCTTCCCTACACCTTTCTTTAAATTTAGAGTACGTCTTCTGGGAGCCTTGGAACACCAGGATGTTAGAGATGTCTTAGTTCAGGGGCACATCTTTCTAAATACTTCTCTTACTGAGGCTTTCTGCATGGCAATTGTGGAAGCAGCAAGTTGTGGTTTACAGGTAAAAAGTTTGGACAATTGGTTTTGCTTTGTTTTTCCTTTTTTGTATGTGGTTAAGAATTTGGCATGTCTTTCAGTACTTGGTTTTCTTACAATGTATCTGTTTCTAGGAGATGTGTGTTATTGTAACTCATGTTGTTTTCTTGCCTTTCAAAGGTTGTGAGTACCAGGGTTGGTGGAATTCCTGAGGTACTACCAGATAATCTTATCATTTTATGTGAACCATCAGTAAAATCTTTGTGTAATGGCTTAGAAAAAGCTATTTCTCAGCTGAAGTCAGGAACATTGCCAGATCCACAAAAAATCCATAACAGAGTGAAAACATTCTATACCTGGAGGAATGTTGCAGAGAGAACTGAAAAGGTATGTATGTATCCTAAAATGACTAAGAATTGTCTGAGACGTCAGCAGATGACAAAACTTGGGTTGTAATGGGTCTTCACTTGTTCTAACTTAAAATAGAAATTAAAAATCTCTAGCTGCATATGTGACATCCCGTAATGGTTGTTCCATATTTCATAAAATGTAATCCATATGAAATAAGGACCTTTTAGGTTATTGGACTGTTTGTTAAGAAAAACTTGCAGCTGAATCATAGAATTTTAGAATTGGAAGAGATCTTAAAGATCCCTGGCCATCAAGATCACCATAAAATGCTACATTTTAAATGTAAGCTAAAGTTTACAAAATACTCTTTTCACAGAAACCTTGTGAGGTAGGTGGTACAAATGTAATTATTCTCATTTTACAAATGAGAATACTGAGGCTCAGAGGCTGACTAGTGATTTAGTGACATAGTTGTAGAGCTTAGTAACCGTTGGAGTCAGCATTTGTCCCCATGTCTCTAGAATCCAAGTCTGGTATTCCTACTGACACATTGAGGAGACTCAGAGTGACGTTTCCACTGATTATCATTACTTGAAGGCCATAGTTTAAAATCTGATTCAAATAAGCATAATACTATGCTTATATCTATCAACAGATTTATTATATACCTTAATCTGGCAATTCTAATTTGCTTTTTCCATGTAGAAAATATCTTGCATTTCTGTAATTTAAGTCAGAAAATACACATTTTTAAGCTAGGCACTATGGTTACAAAGACAAAAGCAAAAAGTTTATGTTCTTAAAGACTTTGTTTTGCTTGGAATGTACCCAAAAAAAAAATACTATAAAGTAATTTAAGGTAGAGAACAGCCCTGAGGATCAGGAAAGACTTCACAGAGGAGGTATGGAATTTGAGGGGAAATAAGGATTCTGTAAGTCAGGGATGAGAAGGGAATATATTTCAGGCATGAGAAATGTATGCATTTATGGAGGCAAGAGATGGAATCTCAACTTTGGTGAGAAATTCTAGTTTGGTTGGAATATAGAATGTGTGAAGGAAATTTATGAAATAAGGTTGGAACCAGATTGTGGATTGTCTTAAAAGCTAGACATTTTATCCTAGAGAAATAAGTATCTGTTGATATATTTTGAGCAAGAGGGTATTCATATATTTAGCTACACCTTAGGAATAAACCAGTCAATCCTTAAACATATATTAAATGCCCACTTTATAATCAAGCTCTGTACTACCTGCTAAGGAAACAAAAAGAGGCAGAAGACATTCTCTACCCTCAAGGAGCTTACAATCTAATGGAGAATACAATATGCAAACAAATATTTAGAAAGCAAGCTACATACAGAATAAATAGGAAATAATTAAGAAGGTACTAGAATTAAGAAGGGTTGGGGAAGGCTTCCAGTAAAAAAATGGGATTTTAGTTGGTACTTAAAGGAAGCCAGGAAGAGTGGAGGAAGGCGAGCATTCCAGGCATGAGGAACAGCTTGTCTAGGCAAGAAAACTTGCCCAGAACTAAGAAATGGAATGTCTTGTTGCTGAAATAGTCAGATGGCCTGTGTCATTGGATCAAAGAGTATTTGGCGGGGGGCAAGGCATAAGAAGACTAGAGAAGTAGGAGGGGCTGGGCTATGAAGGGCTTTGAATGTCAAACAGAGCATTTTATATTTGCCCCTGGAGGCATAGGAAGTTACTGGCGTTTGTGGATAGGGAATGCAGAGGATAGTGATGTGATCACACCTATACTTTAGAAAAATCAATTTAGTGGCTGAATGGAGAATGGATTGCAGTGGGGAGAGAATTAAGGTAGAGCAATGATCTAGGCATAAGGTGATAAGGGCACTAGAGTGGTGGCAGTGTCAGTAGAGAAGGGGACATATTCAAGAGATGTTGCTAAGATGCAGTTGAAACCTCACAACCAAAGGCATAAAAACAGAAATATTAAATGCATCCTTTTCCAACCGTAATGCAATAAAAATTACATTTGTTAAAGGGCTGTGGAAACATAGATTAAAAATTAATTAGGGAGCTGCTAGGTGGTGAAGTAGATAGCACCAGCCCTGGAATCAGGAGGACCTGAGATCAAATCCGGCCTCAGACACATAACACTTACTAGCTGTGTGACTCTGGGCAAGTCACTTAACCCCAATTGCCTCACCAAAAAAAAACCAAAACCATTTTAATTGGAAACTAATCCTAAATAATGAATGGGTCAAACAACAAATCAAAGAAACAGTAAAAATTTTAATTAAAGAGAATGACAACAATGAGACAGCATTCAAAAACTTATGAGATGCAGCCAAAGCAATATATTGGGGAAAATTTATATCTCTAAGTGCTTACATCAAAAATAGAGAAAGAGCAGACCAATGAATTGGGCATGCAATTGAAAAAACTAGGAAAAAAAAGTTTCAAATGCCCAATTAAGCACCAGATTAAAAATCCTGAAAATCAAAGAGAGGTTAATAAAATTGAAAGCAAGAAAACCATTGAACTAATAAATAAATAAAACTCTGAGCTGGTTTTATGCGGGAAAACAATAAAATAGATAGCCTATTAGTTAATTTAAAAAAAAAAAAACATCAGTATCAGAAATGAAAAGGATGAACACCACCAATAAAGAGGAAATTAAAAGCAATTACTTTTGCCCAATTATATGCCAATAAATCTAACAATCTAAGTGAAATGAATTAATATTTACAAAAATATGAATTGCCCAGATTAACAGAAGAGGAAACAGAATACTTAAATCATCCTATCATAGAAAAAGAAATTGAACAAGCCATAAATGAGTTCCCTAAGAGAAAATCCCCAGGGCCAGATGGATTCACAAATGAATTCTATCAAATATTTAAAGAACAATTAACTCCTATACTATATAAACTATTTAGAAAAATAGGCAAAGAAAGAGTCCTATCAAATTCTTTTTACAACACAAATATGGTGCTGATATCTAAATCAGGAAGGACAAAAACAGAGAAAGAAGTCTATAGACCTATTTCTGATGAACATAGATGCAAATATTTTGAATAAAATACTAGCAAGGATACACTAATATATCACAAAGCTCATACATTATGACCAGGTAGGATTTATACCAGGAATGCAGGGTTGGTTCAATCTTAGGAAAACTATCAGCATATTGACCATATCAATAACAAAACAACCAAAATTATATGATTATCTTAATAGATGCAGAAAAAGCTTCTGAGAAACTATAACACCCATTCCTATTAAAAACACTGGAAAGCATAGTAATAAATGGAGCTTTCCTTAAAATGATATATAATATCTATCTAAAATAATCAGCAAGCATTATCTATAATAGGAATAAGCTAGAAGCATCCCAAAAAGATCAGGGGTGAAGCAAGGCTGCCCATTATCACCACTATTATTTAATATTACACTAGAAATGCTAGCTATAGCAATAAGAGAAGAAAAAGAAATGGAAGGAATTAGAATAAACAATGAAGAAACCAAGGGAAAGACAGTATGGACTAGACTGGGGAGGAGAACCTGTGGCCTTGAGGCTACATGTGGCCCTCTAGGTCCTTGAGTGTGGCCTTTTGATTGAGTCCAAGTTTTATAGAACAAATCCTTTTATTAAGGGGATTTGTTCTGTGAAGTTTGGATTCAGTGACAGGGCCATACTTGAGGACCTAGAGGCCTACATGTGGTCTCAAGGCCACAGGTTCCCCAGCCCTGATGTAGCTATTCTGAGCAATTGAATAATCTAGGACAGTTCTAAAGGACTTATGATGAAAAAATGCTATCCACTTGCAGAGAAAGAACTAGTGGAGTCTGAATGAAGATGGATGCATACTTTTTTTAACTTTATTTTTTCTTGTTTGTTTATTTTGTTCTGCATTTCCTTTTGCCACATGGCTAATATGAAAATATGTTTTGCATGACTCCACATGTATAATCTATATCAAATTGCTTGCCTTCTCAAGGAGAGGGAAGGGGAAGGAGAGAGAAAATTTTAGAATTCGAAACTTTATAAAATGAATGTTAGAATTTTTTTACATGTAATTGAGAAAAGAAAAGATTAAAAAAATTCAAAAGTGAAGTTGACAGGCCTTGGCAACAGAGTGGATATAGGAGTGAGATAGTGAGGAATACAGGATGACTCCTAGGTTGCAAGCCTGAGGGAATGGGAACATAGCATTGCCCTCTGTCGCAGTAGAGAATGGGGGAGGTGGGAGATGGAAGGTTAGGGGGAGGAAAGATAACAAATTGTTTTGGACATACTGAGTTAAAGATTTCTACTGGACATCCAGTTCAAAATGTCTGAAAGGCTGTTGGAGATGGGAGCTTGGAGGTCAGCTGAGAGACTGAGGCAGGATAGTTAGATTTGAGAATCACCATAGTGATGGTAATTAAATCCATGAGAGCTGATGAGATCACCAAGAGAAGCAGTATAGAGGCAGAAGAGAGGAAGACCCAGGGGTTAACCCTGAGAGACACCTAACTTAGGGGGGCATGGTCTGGATGAGGATCCATCAAAGGAGACAGAGAAGGAGCCCATCAGATAAGTAGGAAGAAACTTAGAAAAGAGTGGTATCCTGAAAACCTATAGAGAAGAGAGTATCAAGGAAGAGCAAGATTATTTTGGCAGTTGTGTGGAAGATTGATTAGAGAATGGGGAGTTGAAGCAGGGAGACAATTAGATTATTACAGCGATCAGTAATTCAACAAATATTTTAGAACCTGTTTGGTGCAAAGCACCGTCTAGGGATTAAAAAACAACAAAGCAAATAGTCCTAAGAGTTTCCAGGCTCCCGGGTTCAAGGAGGGAGTATAGTTAGAACACAAACATATATAACTAAATAAAAAGTACATACAAAATAATTTTAAGCAGAAAAGAATGTTAACAATTCAGGGCATTAGGAAAAAGTTCTTGTAGTAGTATGCAGCCTCAGCTCTGCTTAGCACAGCTTCTACAGCTTAGCACCAGCTGCGCCTTGAAAGAAGCTTGGAAGTCTTATGAGGTGGAAGTTAGGACAGAGAGTCTTCCAGATGTGGAGAACCATCTGTGACTGAAGATGGAGCCCAACTTATGGGGAACAGTTGGTAGGCCATTTTGACTGAAACAGAGAATTTATGAAGAAAAACAGTATGATACAAGACTGGAAATGTAGGTGGGAAGCAGATTGTGGACCTTTTTAAATGCCAGCTGAACATCTTGTATTTTATCCGAGTGGTAGACTCGAACTCTGGATTTTTGAAGAGGGGTAAGGTATGATATGGTCACATCTCTGTTTTAGAAGTATCAGATTGGCAGCAAAGTAGAGGATGGTTTGGAGAGGGAGGAGAGAAAGTAGAAGGAGGAGACCAATTAAGAGGCTATTGGAGTGGTCTAAGTAAGCAGAGATGAGGGCCTGAACCAGAGTCAACAAGAGTAAGGTCATTTTGGGGGAAATATAACAAGTTCATCTGAAGGACAAAGCACATATGTGCTCTCTGGCACTTAAATGTTAAAAAAATATTTTGTGTTATTTACATTTTCTTCATAAGAATTTTAATTATTTAATCATTAAAAGTCACTATTTTTACATAGAAAGAAGAAGCTGCTCCTGCTAGAAAATATTACTCTAGAGTATATCCCATCATTGTATAAAGCTCAAAGCAGTGTATACTCATTACTTTACCTAAAAATAAATGCTCTCAGTTTTTTGTCTCGTTACCGCTTACTCACATTTGCTTTAATTTTTCTGTAGTTAGGTGAGAAATCTTTTCTTAATGCTTTTTCCTCAGCTTGGTATTCAAAAGTGCTTTAGAAAGCTGGCTCCAGCCAAACTCTGTGATGTTCAGTTTATCTGCAACCTCATAGTGCTTTCTTGTAGTGTCTGTGTTCTGTCACTCCTGTGTCCTGTGCAACATGGTGTGAGTCTGTCCTACCACCACGGATGACACTGGGAAGCAGTGTCATAGTAGAGACCTTCTGTCTGTTCAGAGACAACATAATACATGCAGACATAATAGTAAAATAGAATGGGGCGGGGGCACTGTGCTAGAAGCCCGGCCCTGCCTGGTGAAGGTGCCACAACCTTTTGATGTGTTCTTGGGCACTAGCAGCTAGTGACCCATTCTCCTCTAGTTGGAGTGATGGGGCCCATCAAAGCAAACAAACGTGAAGTATCTGTGTCTCTCTGTACCACTAACCTCTGGCCACTAACTCGGAGGTTCCTGGACTGTGATTTGCCCTTTTTCCTCTTTCTAGGTGTATGACAGAGTGTCTAGGGAAGCTGTGTTACCAATGGACAAGCGGCTGAACAGGCTGATCTCTCACTGTGGCCCAGTGACTGGCTGCACCTTCGCTTTGTTGGCTGTGTTGAACTTCCTCTTCCTCATTTTCCTGAGGTGGCTGACTCCTGATTCTATCATTGATATTGCGGTTGATGCTACAGGACCGCAGGGGGCCTGGACCCAGCAGTATTCTTTTAGTAAAAAGGGGGAAGACAATAAAGAGATTTCAAAATCAAGGTAGAAAGAAGCCTGCTTTTCAAGATTTTTAATAGTTCAATAATTCTTCCAAAATAGTTTGAAATAACTTTACTTTTTTTTATATTGGTTGAGAAATTTATGCTACCTCCAGTTCATACTATGTTTGATTTTGAGTCAAGATCCTGAACTTATGCAATTTCCTGGGACGAAAACTCTTTGCACTTGTTTAAAATTCAGAAGGGAAAATTTTGAGCTACTCAGGTGTAAAACTTCCAAGACTACTGAATTCACTGTAACAGTGGTGTTTTAAGATTATACTTTGGGGGCTTGTGGGCACTGATGGGCCAAGTTCATTATTATCTGGAGTTTTCTTTGCCAATGTTGAATATTGTTCTTTTTAATATGAATTTGAAATTCATAAAGCATTTATAGAATTTGCTTGATGTATTTTAAGTACAGTACTTGTAGCATATGTGCTGGGTATATATTCAGCAAGTGTTAATTCTTCAACCATTAAGATGGGCACCTTGACCAGTAAAGCAATATTTGTTGAGCCACCTATTGTGTGCAGAACACTATACTAGATGCTTTCTATAGAACACTGGGACCACTTACTAGCATAGTAGCAATTTATTAATGGTACTGAAAAATAGCATGCCTCCAAATGTTTTTAATGTGTCCCAAAATAACTCTTAATCTCAGTAAATTGCTAGCAAGGGCTGGCTGAATAATCCTGTTGTACTGTTGGAGACACTCATCTAGGCAGTGCCTTTGTCTTTTTGTTTTTGTGTTTTTATAAATTTTATTTAAAGTTGGCCATTAGTTTCAAATGAAATTTGAAAAGCTCATATGGATTTTTGTCCTTCTGGAAATGCTAACTTAAAAATGAAGAATGAGATGTACTTTACTTTTAAATATTTGTTAAATATTTAAAATATTTATTTAATATTTAACAATAAATATTAAATAAATATTTATTAGGGACCGATATCACTGTTTAGCATAGGGCAGAGGCACATTCCATTAGCTTTCATATATAACTTAGTCCTTTTTCTGCAGATGACTCAATTTTAATCTGTCTTCAGCAGAATTTAGTGGTTGTTCCAAAGATGGTGATAATTATGACCATCTGCAGTGCTACACATTTAATCGTGGTCATTTAGACTTCTCTTCCTTTGTGATCTTGTTTACATTTGAATAAATACTTTGAATGGTAGTAGTTCAATGGTTTTTTCCTCTGGAATTTTTGGTTCTCAACAAATACAAACTGAAAATTATCAGGAGATAGGCACTGTGTTGATGGATGTGCTCCGTTATAATAGTTTTTGCCTCAGAGCCATGGGTTTCCTAACCCCAAACTATCCCTATAATCTATATCTTTAATTTAGTGAGCATTTCTTTGAAAACTTGAGAATTTTTTCTCATAAAGCACTGTTTGACATTAAAGAGATGATGACTTGTGCAGACTTAGACTCAGCATTCTGGCTATGTACCAGATATTTTCAGAACCTTTTTTAATGACAGAACACAAAAGTTTGGATAGTTTTTGTACAAGTATCCCGTGCTGTGAATATTTTAATTTCTCTTCCCATTGTGGTATAAAAAGAACACTGCATTTTGTTTTTACTGAAAAGGGCTTGATGAAAAGAACACTATAAAATCTTAAAATTAGTTTTTTCTCCTTTGTTGAAGAAAAGTATTGATTATTGGTATTATTATCTAAAAGTCTTGACATTGACTTTTCCTTTTATTAGACTGTGCTGGATGATATGAATATGAAATGTGAGTGTCAGTATATTGGGGAAAAAATTGTTGAGAAAATGTTGAATTTTGGCTTTATTGATGCCATTAATCAGTTTTTTAAAAAGCATATTATTATCTTTCCTAACATTTAACGTTCCTTTTGAAACATTCTTTAAAATTGTTAAACATTCATGCCTTAAATTAAGGTAGAAAAAACTTTACAATTCCTTAACATGCTATGGAAATTAAACTAATTTTTCTTTTAATGAATCATGAAAGAAGTGAAACTTGCCTTCTCCTTTTGGATTCACATTTCTTGAGTTTCCCAAATACACTTATTTTAATTGTGTTACAGTTGCACTGGTCAGTATCTAGAAACATACCATATTGTTCCTCTCTTTACTCTGGCATTGTAAAAAAATTAACTTGCTTTGGTAAAGCATTTAGAAGAAATCCTATGCTGATTTGCATATTGGAGAAGTTAAACTAAGTTTTGCTCAATGAAAAGATATGCTATATTTAAAAGTCTAATAACTAAAAACAATTCTTTTTTTGCCAGAAAAGTGTAGTTCAAGATGAGAAATCTCTCTTTTAGCACTATCAGATTATCATTTGTTGGTTAGTAAGGAAATTCCCTTAAATTACTTATTATGCAACACATTTTTTCTTCTAATCATGTGGAGTAGCAGGTTCTACTTTGTTCCTGCATTCTGTGCGTCCAACAAGTACTAATTTTCCTTTAAAACAGAAATGGATGGAAGATACTTTCTCTCATGTTTTTGAACTACATTATTGTTGTACCATGTGAGAGATTTTAAGAGGAATTTGTATTTAGGCTTGGTTAACATAAGTTGAACTTTTTTATACATTCTTTTTTTTCTGAAGATGCTATAGATAAGACTGAGTGAGAACCTGACTTGTTACAAATGAATTAGATTTAGATTTGTAAAATTTTTCTAAATACAGAAAGAATGCTTTGGAGCAAAGATTAAAATTTAAAAGAAAAATGACAGAGCCAGTTTAGTCATTAAAACAACACACTGTACACATGTATGCACTCCTATTTTCCACCAAAACATTTGTTTGCCATTGTACAGATCTATGCTTACTTTTATGAAGTATTTTTAAAAGCCTCCACAGTATTCATGTATTTCTCTATCCGTTCTCAAAATTTAGATGGATTAATATTAAACTATATTGTGACTAGGGTTTTCCAAATGAAATTATGAAAATTAAAGTTTTTATGAAGAATGTGTGTTGATGTTTATTTTTTTCTTCAGTCTTTATGTGTTTTTAGCTTTTTATTTATTTTAGCATTCATTCAGTTTATACTCTGTTACCTATTTTCATTATGGTTGTAGATTATTTAATATTTTTTATTCAATATTGTTACTACAAAGATTGGGTAGTTTTTAAACCTACCTTATTTTTAACATTTTTCTCATTCAAATGCAGTCTTTCTGTTATGATAAAGAAGACTATCCATTAAAAGTATGATTATAGGGAGCCAGGGAATATTTAATCCCAGATATTCCATCATTTCAACCTTAAAAAAAGCTTAAGACCTAGAACTCTTTGTGTACCACTTTCCTAGTATGTGAAATGTAGAAAGTTACGACCATGTTTTAATGCATGAAAAGACTTAAACAAAAAGCTAACATTATAGTTCATTTTTAACATGAAAGGTCTTAGTTTTATTTCCCCCATAAATTGCATTGTCAAGTGTACACAATATCTTAAAAAGATTTTAAGATTGATAAGGTATACATAAAAAGACAAATTATATCAATGTTCATATAGTCATATGTATTTCCACAAATTTATTTTAGTTTTAGTTGGTAATTGGTATGATTGGATTCCACTTGTGTGGTCCAGGTTTCATCAATGAAACTGGATACTATGGATTGTGAGCAAAGTTACTTATCAACTAAAGACATATGGTGAATTGCTATTATTATTACTAGTAAATAATTCAGCATTTACTAGTAAAATCAATTTTAAAATATTTAATATGTTGAACTGCCTGGAACAAAGATGCTATATTCATTGTGTTAAATATTCACAGGTATCAGCCTTTCTACCATGAATCAAATTGGTTTGGATCTTATGTTTAGAATATAACTAATAATAATAATAAGCCCAGGGTGTTGCTTATCAGCCCACTACCAAAGACTCCAACTTGAGCAAGAAATTAACTTTATTCAGTAAATACTTTTAGCCAATTTACTAGAATTTGCCTCCTCTTTAATTTGAGTGAAAGCAGAAATTCTGGCTGAAAGGCCAGAAGTAGTAAAGGAGGGAAGGCCAATATGAACCCAATGGGAAGTTGTACAAGTTGTTGAGAATTTGTGTGCAGAATTTGAGGAGGCAGTATGGTATAGTGGAAAACATTGAATTTGGAATCCAAAAACCATGGTCCAAATCCTGGCCAGCCACTTGCTGCCTCTGTGACCTTGGACAAGTCATTTTAAGTTTTCTCATGAAAAATGAAAGGTTTGGACAAGAGAGCTTCTGAGAGCTCTTGACTCGATCCTGTGATTTGGAGTCACTTCTTTAGTGACTTCCTTGTCGGTAAAAGCTCTAAATCTATGATCTTAGGAACTCTCCATGTGTCAAAGAGGTTTAAAGGTCAGAGTACACTAAATCCCAAATGTAGTACTTTCAGGACAGCAATCCACCACCATCACCACCCCAGACACCAAGTGTGGCTATCCATAGGGCAGTTATGCCTCTAGTGTCTACTGTTTGAGAAAGAATTAGAGGGCCTGAAAACCAGAGGTCACAAATCTTATGAAAAAGTTCTAGGTCTTTCAGGGAATAATCCAATACCCTGTAATAGAAAAAAAAAATTATGTCCTCTTAACCTAAGGAAAAAATGGCATTCACTTAGAACATAAGGCTGGGTCTATCGTGGAATCCTGCTGGATTGTTGCTTTCTTCCTATTGTTACAATACTGGTTGTATCTTACTCTATGTTATTTAAATTAAAGCCCCAGATAGTAATTGCCACACAGTTTCTTCTCCCTAGACACTTTCTCAACAAGCTTTATTTTTCTTTTCCTTCATTTATTCTGCTCTACAAAATGACATTGATCAAATGACATACAATTAACAAAGGGCTATAAATTTGTATTTTAAAATTCCTCAGCTTCCTTTCTGCTTACAAGCCAGAAGTGAAAGAAAAAGACCCAATGTCCATTATGTTTTTCCCCAAATCAGGAGCTGAGTTCCTCATTTTTTTTCTTTCCCATATTAATTTGGAGAAGTTTATATGCTACCAATATACTATATCCAGAAAGTAGCAGTTTTCCTTTTCCAAATGACTACATTGACACTTTGCTGTTAAAATTGATCTATAGAGGGTCTTTTGCATGCATTTGTGGTGATGTTGGGAAATGTTCATAGGATCTTAAGTTTTTTGTTGGAACTAGACTTAGAGGTCATCTAGGCAGCTAGATTGTGCTGTAGATGGAACGTTGAACCTGGAATCAGGGATACTCAGACACCAGTTGTGTGACTGGCAAGTCACTTAACCTCTCTGTTTGCCTCAATTTCCATATCTATAAAATGGAGATTATGTAGGTTGTTGTGAGATTAAAATGAGATAATATTTGTAAAGTGCTTTGTAAACTTTAAAGCACTGTGTAAATGCTAGCTAATATCTAGTCCAGCCCTTCATTTTACAAATGAAGAGAAAGTCTCTAATGACTTGTCCAAGGTCACACAAGTAGTAAAGTAGAAGAGCTGGAAATTGAAACATGGTCCTCTAATTCAAAATCTAGCATTTTTTACAATGATGTAAAAAAAGACTCCTTGAATATAAATAAAACATTTAAAAATTAAATTGATCTAAAAAGCCTTTGCCCAAGAGGATATATATTAATGCATTTAACTTAGATATAGGATCATTTGTGCCTCTTTGGTACCTATGTAGAGGGGTCATGTTACTTAAATATTTTTTTCAAAGCATTAATATGGAGCCTCCAAACTTTTTTGACCATGCAAAAATCCCATAGAGGTGACAACTATATGAAAGAAGAGGCATTTTATGGGCAGGCTAATGGAGTCCACCCTTTGAAGCATTTGCAGGATTCTCCACCTACTTCTTATCCACTTAGAGGATTCGGGAGGCTGTGTGATTCAAATCTTGTGGGGAGATTTAGTGACTTGTTTTCTCTCATCTTACTAAGTGGTGGCATGAAGCTGTTTAACAGTCTGTTAGGCCAAAACTGAGTGTCCATACAAAAGGCATGTGGTCTATTATTCCTTGGAGGCTTTTGAGTGAGGAAGAATTTTTTTAAGCCTCTGGATCAGGAAGACGGTGGTGGCTTTGGCTGCCCTTTTCTCCCACCTGGGTCACCCTGTGGTCATGAATACCCAGCGCTGCTGTTTCTTTCGTCTGTGTTTGTTCTTTTCCAGTCTTAGGTGAATGAGTATTGGAGATAGAAAGCACCGGGTCATAGGCTTGTGAGCTTCAAAAGGTCAGCTGAACCATCAGATGTTTAGCACCTAAAATCCGTAGCAGAGTCTGTTGCATCAGCCAAACCTGATAAAGAGGCATCCCTGAAGAGTGACCTGGCTTAGCAGTCAACTGACACAGTCTCTAAGACACCATGTCCTACAAACAAGTAGCATGACCTGTCCATCAGCTGTGCTGCTGGGAGGAGTGTTTATTGTAAGCACTTTAAATTTGAGCCACACCCCCAAGGACCACAGTGGCAGAGCAGTTTCAAAAGTTTGTGTACTTTAGGCCTTCTCAGTAAATATCTCTTTGTAAAAAAATGAAATAAACCTAAATGATGTTAAATCACTATCAGTGATATTGAAGAACTAATAATAATAGCTAGCATTTATATAGCACTTTACGATTTGCAAAGCACTTTATAAATATTATCTCATTTTGATCCCCGCAACAACCCTGGAATGTAGGTGGTATTATTATCCCTATTTTGTAACTGAGAAAATGTAGGCAGACAGAAATGAAGTATTTGTCTTAACTAGTTTTCACATCTGGTAAGTGTTTAAGGTCACATTTGAACTCAGGTCTTCCCGACTCTAGGCCCAGCTCTCTACCCACTGAGCCACCTGGCTGCCTCTATCAGCTATATAATATAGTTATCAACTTTTGGTTACTGGTTGATTAGCTGGCATGGGAGAGATATGAACTATGGGTGAATAATATTGGGAAGGAATATACCAGATGGGAACCAGTGAATCATAGTTTTAGAACAGATACCCCAATCCCTCAGGGTTACCCTAGAACTCAAGAAATCAGTAGCTTTGCTCTAGCAATCTGACTTGAGAGAGTGTGGGTGGTAAGAATGAGTGCATTAGAGTTAATTTTGGGGTCACTAATGTAGAGTACCCCCAAATAGGCAAATGTCTTTACATATTACCCGGTCACTTCCTTGAGCTCAGCTAATCCTAGCTTGCTCCGAGACCAAAAAATATTGATTGGGTAGAGGTAAACTGGCCTGAGCAAGTTCAATGGGAAGCTATTTGAAGGAACTAACTAGGAAGTCATTTGAAAGGGAGAGCAGTAGTAACTGCTGTTGGGGTCACTGCCTCAGTGATAAGGCCAGGCAGAAAGGTTAGATGCAAAGTTGATCGTGAAGGCCGTACAGACGGTGCTGCTTCTGCAAGAGTGTTGTTCAAAACTCAGTCCAACATTTAAGTAGTAGAGGAAAGCTATGTAATACTGAGATGAGAGAATGGAAATGAGCGTCATCTTTCACAACCAATCACTTAAGAAACAGCTAGAAAGACGGACAAAGGTAAGGAAGCTTGAAGGAAATGTGCATGAACCTCACTGCCACCTTTCTTGAATCTATAGGTCCCTGTTAAAGCTGAAAATATAGTAAAGTCCTTTGGGTACTTAAATCACAAACAACTTTGTGTTTAATTTATTGTTGCATTGAACGTTTGTGCTATATATTCACTAAACCTGTTAGAATGATTATACATTTAAATATGGTATAACATATTTTAACACAGACCACCTTTGTTCCCACTGCCTGAAGGCCAGGTGTGTTAGATTCCTCACCCAGGGTGCTCTGGTACACCTGGCAAGCAAGATCTAGGTTCTCTGCAAATGGCTCTAGCCACCACCAGTGTTGTTCACTCATGTAAGGGATGGCACCTTGCACCCCAGTTCTATTAGTCACTGTCAGATTAACTTTTACACTGAAATATTTACTTCAAGATACAATTACAAACACATACGTACTTTCCCAGAATTTGGGAGGCATAATCCTCCCCTTCCTGCCCCTCTCTGAGCCTCCTCCTCCCTCCCCCACATACATACACCATTGCACTGCTCTGGTCTCTGGGGAGGAGGAGGGGATTAGGTTCATAGCTTACTTCAGTTCCCATAGAGCACGCTCCTAGTACAATCCCCGAGTCAGGCTTGAGCCCCAGGCACCCTGGCTTCTCAGGGTTTCCACACTGAGCTGGCTGGCTGCACCATCCCACTTATAATCCTGACTCACACTTCTCTTGTCCTCTTGGTATCACATCTGGTACCTGAAACTGAGGAGGACAAACAACACAAAATAGAAACAAACATCGCCAGGCCCCATTTCTCAGAACTATGGTGAAAGAGAGGGAGCAGAAGGAAAGTCATTCTCCCCTCACCAGTTCAATTCAAGGTGTCTGTGCTATGAGTGCACTGTGATCTTCACCCTCTGGACACGGCAGTAAGAGTGGTTGAAAAAAGTGCAACAGAAAGTTCTAGTGGCAGAAAAGAGTGACCAGCTGGGTCTCACCTGTTTAAAGATGCTGGCAGCCAATCAAAGGCCTCTTTATTAGGCGATCTAGACGTGCTCCAAAGGCCCCTTGGTTCACCTCCATGTTAGGAAAACTTGACTTGCCCAGACAAGCCCAGGTTACAGTACTTTCTGTTAGAATATAGGGTGTGTGTGTGTACTCAAACATCTTCACACTTTTTTGGCATGCACTTGAGTGACTTGCTTTGATTTCATGTGAATATGGGCATTCTAGTCAAACCTGCCTTTTGGGGTACTTATTTTTGAAAGCCTCCAGGCAAAGAGTAGTGTGTATCACACCTAGGTATTAAATGATAATTTCATTGCCAGAATAAAACTTAAATATCTAGATTCTGAACCAGTTTTCTTGGAAACTACTTTTATTAAGGCCTCGGGGTTCTGGACTGATGATTTCTTTGGCCTAGGGAGCTCCCAATTTGAAAAACATCATCAATACGGGTCAACTTATTTTGGACTTACCAAAGGCACTGAGCAATTTAGCTAGTTTGTGTCAGGGATGGAACAAGCTATAACCACCTTGTTCTTCTTCCTCTCATGTAAGCTACTCTTAATTTTGACCAGAACTATTATTTCACTAGGGGAGGGAGCTCTTAATGAGGAAACTCCTACCAACACTAATCTGCAACTATTCTGCCACTTAGAGTCTTACAAAATTGCCTAGGTCACCCAGTGATTTACCAGGGATCATACAGACAGTATGAGCCAAAGGTAAGACTTTAACCTAGGCCTCCCTGACTCCAAAGATGGTTCTTTATCTCCTTTCCCAGGAAACCAGAAAGCCAGTGTGTGTAAATATGTATTTAGCTCATACATCTGTTTGGAAAATTCTAGTACATGAAATACTATGAAAGTAGTGAAAGGTTCTTATGTAGGACTTGGATAGCAAAGTGAAAAAAGATATTGGTATTTTCAGCTTTTGGTAAGTCCATAGTTTCATTGAGAAAATGTCAAACTTGTCTCCAACCTGTGATCACCATTAAAAAAAAAAAGATGGGGGAGAAGGAAGAAGGGCACACAATGTCAGAGCTCATGAAAAATTTCCCCTCTAGATTCAAATAACTATTGGTATCTGACCTAATATTAGAAAACTAATTAAAATGGGTTTTATGTAGGGATTTCTTGTTGATTTGTTTTTCAAGGTGCTTTTGGATTGGGTTGCTACTTGTTAGAAGGTTCTTTGGTGCCTGTAACATTGAACATAGAAGACTTTTTAATCACTGGCATTGTCATTTAGTAGCTGCATCACTGTCAGACTGGTGAGATGAGCTCTTGGTAATTGGAGCACCAGCAGCTAAGAGGTTTAAAATAGATGTCATACAATACCAATAATAACCCAGTGAAATGTTACAGACCTAGGAAGTTGTACCAAGTGCGAGCCAAAATGGAGGAGAGTTCAATGTTTCATGGTTTTAAAAACATTTATGTTACTATATTTGCTCTGTTTTTTTTCTTTAAGCTCTTAATCAAAGTTTTTTTGGCTCTCTTAACCCATTTCTATATCGTCAAAGGGAACAGAAAAGAGGCTGCTAGGATATCAGAAGAGATCTATGGAGGAGTATCAGGTAAAATGTATCCATCTATTATTGTTTTTTAAAATACTTAAATCTTCTTAAGAGTTTCAGTTCCTCTAGAATTTAGATTTTTGGTTATAATTTGGCTTTGGAATTCTGTGGTATTTAAAGAACACAACACTTTATTCAGCAAAATGGTATTGATGATCAAATGGATTCAACATGTGAAGCCTTTTCAGCCCTCCTCTGGCTGTATGAGAATGGAGAAGTCCATTAGCAATTAGGCAGTGCAGCTTTAGGAAACCCTGTTTTTTTCCCCCGAGAACTACTTTGGTGGGGATTTTCCATTATTTATGTGCTAGATCTTGACACTGTGTTATATGATTCAAAAAAGAGACTTGGCATCAGAACTTGATCAAAGCAGTTCATCTTTGTTGAACTTTTTGGTTTTTGTTTTTTCCCAGAGTACATTACATCTATTTGAGTGTTACTGATTTGGATTTAAAGTAGATTAACTGTCATCGTTGTCAGTAAAAACTGTCAGGAAGGCCATCCCATAAGTGTATGACTGTGCTAGGCATTATGCAAAATTATAATAATGTACATAGACTGGAAGACTGAAACTTGAACAAAATATTTTAAAATTGAAAAGAAAGTGTTTTTAATTTCTTTTGGTTGATTATTCACTTCAGTTGCTTACTTGTAGGAGACTGCCAAATAGCTTACCAATTAGACATTCTTCAGTTGGCTTTAACTTGCAAAAAGAATCTGGCAATTATAGAGTTCAACATTCCATTAATGATCCTCTAAACACTTTTATTTTAATTCTTGCAGAGGTTCCAATATTACATCATATTTTATCTGCCAGTATCCATTTTCAAATTTGCAACCAAGATACTCTTTCAAAACAAGCATGTGATCCATGGTTGGCAATGCACTGGACAAACACTAGAGATTATATTGGTCCCATACAAAGATATAAAACATCTAAGGATGCAGCTGTAGAAATGCTTAAATTAACTGAAGAAATTAAATAGAAGCACAGAGTTCCAGAAGCAGTACCTAGAATGTGGAAAGTGATTTCCTTTGGAGATTATATATGTCATACTTTTCAGGGAGGTATGTCGCTTTGGCCAGCTTACATATCTGTGCTTTATTGTTTTTCAAGTCAAGCTAGTCAAGCCTATTGTTAATTGTCATCATTTGTTTTCAAGTCAAGTTTGTCAAGCCTATTGGTCACTTTAAATCTGCTGGGCAGGCACTATATCTAATTCTGGGTTTTCTTTATAGCACCATTGTTGTTCAAGCTATGTGTAGACAACAGCAATATAAAAACTGCAAAATAGGTCACACTCATACTTAAATAGTTTAACAAAAATTCAGAACTAGCAATATTTTTATGTATATGCATTACAATTAATCTTGATTTCCAAATGAAGTTAACTCATCTTAGTAGATATAAGGGACGTGAATTATTTAAGCATTAATATTTTTAGAACTTATCTAACCTTAATATAAATGATACATATTTCTTTGAATTCAAAATTGTTTATATATCCATTTTTATATCACAGGCTCCTAAGGATATGTCTAGTTAGCCTTCAGACACTTACTGGCTATGTGAGCTTGAGGAAATCAGTTCATGTCTCTGAGCCTTAATTCTCTCCACTACAAAATGAGAGTGTTGCACTGCGTGACTTCTAAAAGGAACCATGCCATGTTTTTGAGGAGTGATGTGACCATTTGATTAGAAAGATTAATTTGGTAGTAATGTGTAGGATGGATGTAGGTACTCCAACAAATTTACTATTATCAGTCTCCACTAAAGTTAGACTTTTTAATAGCTAACAGTTAAAGTAGGAAAACTTGGGTTGCATTTGGGGGCATGATAAGTAGTCCATTAGCTAGAATGTAGACCATGTGTATAACAAGTTTGCAAACTGACCTAATCAAGTGAGTGTGTAGGAAAAGGAAAGTACCTGTGGCTCAGCCCAAAGGAAATTTCATCAGAGTCAAAAGGTAGAATTGATTTGTAATTTTTAACTTTTTCCATTCAGACAGAATTGAGGAGATAATCCAACAGAGATAATAGTGGTCCTATGACAGTAGTTTCTTTTGACTATATGTGGCCTATTTCTCTAACTTGTTGAAAACTGGAATATGGGGAAAGTCTTACCCTTTACATGAGAAATTTCACTCAAATTTAGCTATTATAAGTATAAAATTATATTCCATTCTAAATAATATGTAAAAAACCCACTTTCAAATGGTTATGTGTATGCATGTATGTATGTATGCATATTATATGTGTTGTAGAGTTGTTTCAATTCAATTTCAAATGTCTCAATTTGGAGTTTTCTTGGCAAAGATACTGGAGTGGTTTGTCATTTCCTTCTCCAGCTCATTTTACGGAGGAGAAAGCTGAGGCAAACAGGGTTGATTGACTTGCCCAGGGTCACACAGTTAGTAACTGTCTGAGGCCAGATTTAAACTCAGATCTTCCTGCTTCCGTCAGCACTCTATCCACTGTGCCACTTAGTTGCCCTCATATATATACATATGTATATATATATATATATATATATATATATACATACTATGAAATCCATTGTTAAGTAATTTATAATATTTTTGTATTAGTTGTGATTTATATTAATCTCTTATGGAATGGAAATGTGATTTCTAGTAATATATTTATTTTTACAATTTCTATAACAACAAAATAATTTATACAACATGTGGAGTTGTAATTGGATTTTACCCAACATGCCCAGGTTCACCTTCTTTAAAAAAAAATCTTTCCTTGGTCCTCCTGTCCCTTCAAACCATTCTTCTTGTATTTCTCTACTCTTTCATAAACAAGCTCCTAGAAGAAGGTGCCTATACTTGTTGCTTCTATTTTTCCTTCTAATCACTTTTTAACCCCTTGCAATCTGATTTCTTGACATCATCATTCATTTGAAAATATCCTCTACAAGGCTACCAATGACTTCCTTTTAAAAATAGATTTCATTGGTTGTTTTTTGTTTTTACGTTGCCTAGATTTCCCCTTGTATACCTTCTCTTGCTTGTATGTATGTATATTTATATATATATGTATAGTGTGTGTATGTATGTGTGTGTGTATATATATATGTGTGTGTATGTGTGTATATATATCTATATACATAGATATATATATAAAAATCACTTTTAAAAGGCATCCATAAAACATGAAAGGATTTTAAAATATGTCATGGACACTGGAACAACTAGTTAGGGTGGATTTTCAAATTGATAGGCAACAGCTGCTTTACTTCTTAAATATCTATAACTTGAACATAAATATCCCAACTGAATTAGTTGTGTTATTGAAATAAATCTGCTGGTACAGAAGCTGTCATACAAAATTTTTATTTTAGCTGACCAAGCACTTGGGACATAAATTGTACTTTTAGAAAAATGTAGTTTGAATTAAATTATTTTGAGTCCTATTCTACGCACCTCATCAAGAGCAAGTAAACATGTTTGTAGAGTAAACTTTCTCTTATTAAAATATGTTTGCAGCACTGTAACACAAACCATCTGCCAAATACCTAAAAATAATTGACCCTAGAGAAAAATTAATTGTCATTACTGCTTAAGAATTCATTTTGCAATTTGGAAAATTTAGTTAGATTTTGCCTTAAAGTAATGGGAAAAAAATTACTGACTTCCAAGAAGCATTTTTCCTTAATGATATACAAATTAATTTTAGTTTTTAAAGGCATAATCTCTCAAAAGTGAGAGATTAGGTTTTGGTAATATGCATAGCAGAATATACAGGTCACAACATTCAGGGCCTAGGCCATGGAGGGTAGGTGCAACTCTAGTAAAACACCTCCTACACCCTTCTATGGACCCAGGAAGTAGCCTCTTGGAGGAGTGGACTATCTCTGTGTGTTGGGGGCAGGGAGTCCTGGTGGTCAAGATGGGTTGAGATCTTGCTGGGAAATGTGGAGGAAAGATAGATGAATTTTCCTCCTTGGTGGCAAAGCATAATACATGAAGGGCTTCTTCTCTTACTTTCTCACTTCTCCCTTCCTTCTGCTTAGTTGGAGGTTAAAACACTTAAAAAAAAAAAAAAGAACCCTCTGTCCTATTTTGCCATCCGCCATGGCTGGTAATATTTCGTAAGTTTCTTTCTCCCATAAACTATAAAATAGTATACTAGAATGCTTATTTCCTTGAAAGTAGTTGGATTATTATTTTACATGAAGATAGCAAAACATGTTTTGTCAGTTTGGATGTAAATGTGAGTTCTATTTTTAAGGAGATTAAAAAAATAATACTTGCTGTTCCTCGTACACAACATTCCTTCTCTAATCTCAGTGCCTTTTCTTTGCACTGTCTGTTAACCCTTCCTTGAATTAATTTCCCCCCTTTCTATTTCTCTCTCTTGAAATCCCTACTTTCCTTCAAAGCACTTCTCAAGTTCACCTCCTAGAAGTGGCCTTTCTTGATATCCCCTGCTACTGGTGCACCCGTTTCCTAAATTGTTTTGTTTTTACCTTGTACAGCATGTACTTTATATTCACTTATATTTATATATTTATTTTACCCCGAAAGAATGTAAGCTTTTTGTGAGGACAGGGAGACACGATTATTTTCGCCTTTGCATCCATAGCTGATAGTGTGGTATTTAATGAATGTCCATTGGTTGATTATGTACCATATTCCCTTCATAAAGAGAAACTTTATTAATTTCAGAGTCAAGCAAATTAGTACTCTCAATAGATATAGAATGCAAATATAAGTTGCTCTTATAATCAAGAATCATCTAATGGGAAATCAGTTTTCTAGATGGAACACTGTCTGGAAGTCCTGAGTTCAAATCCTTCTTAGTCTCTCTCATTCTCAGTTTTTTTCATTTATAAAATGTGAGGTTAGATTTGATGGCCCCTTAGGCCCTTACCAGCTCTGTATCTATGAGCGTGCATGCGTGTGTGTGTGTGTGTGTGTGTAAAATGAGAATTCACACTGCTATGTACACACCCCATTGAACATGTCAAAAATGAAGAAATAGCTTCATT